GTCATTGTTATTTATTTCGTTTCCATAGTAATTATATTCAAATTTGCTACCGATCTGTTGTTCCTATTTCGATAATTCCACATAAATACTATTTTCTCTTGACCATTTACAAAAAATTTGCGTTTAATTTAAATAATTTTCCCGTTCTCTCTAGAAAGGTATAAAAGCCGAACAATCGGTGAAGAAAGGCAGTCTCGCTTCAGTTCGCGAATTGGAAGTATCTCCTAAAGGCCTTATCCCGGGACCGCACTGCCCCGGGATCCTGCAAGCCTCCACCTACACGTGAAGTCTTCGGCGAAGCCTTCTTCAAACGCGGAGCCGCACCACTCCGGAATCCTACAAGCCTCCATCTACCTCGGAAGTCGCTTCGATTCTACTACAAGCGCGGGGGCCACACTACTCCGGGCGCTACGAATGCTTACTCCAGGCGCCGAGAGCACCTACCGCCGGCGCTACCTTTGGGCGCTGCAACTGCTGGCTCTAAGCGTTGAGCGCACCTACTCCAGGCGCTACATGCGCCGGCTCCGGACGCTGCGTGTGCTGGCTCCAGGCGTTGCGTGCCGTCGCTGCTAAGAAACCTACCTCTACATTCGCAACGTGTGTCGCTTCGACTTTTAGGCTCCACTACAATTCTATATTCCCCTATTCTCCTACCTTTATTTTTTTTTTGTAATCTAATTGTACACTCACTTCATTCATCATCATCCTCATTTCATTTTTTAAAAAAAAATTGTAAATATCTTTGAATTTTGAATATATTTCTGTTTTTGTTGTATTTTTGTTGTTTTGTTGTTCTTAGATTCTTTTTGATATATTATTGTCGCTTCACGACATTTGGCGCCCAACGTAAAAGTCCTCTTTCTCTCTTAATTCTTCACCTTTACTGCGCCTTGTCCATTCCCTTTTGATTTAATTGCTCTCCCTTTCGTTCTTAACTCTTTATTTATTCATCCTTTTCATACCTTCCAAATTCTAAAACAACACTTCATCTAGTGTTTCAACGTATCTGGCTTATATTTAGACCTACATTTAACACTTCACTTACATTCATCACTTTAATATTTTTATTCTAGAACAAAACTTCATCTAGTTTTTCAACTTATCTAGATTATATTTAGACCTACATTTAACACTTCACTTACATTCATCACTTTAATATTTTTATTCTAGAACAAAACTTCATCTAGTTTTTCAACTTATCTAGATTATATTTAGACCTACATTTAACACTTTACTTACATCCATCACTTTAATATTTTTATTCTAGATAACTTAAAGAGGTATAATTTTTAATTAAATTTTTATTTCTTAAACTTAACTTTACACATAATTATAACAATGAAAAGGGTTATTAAGTACGAATTCCTTAACAAGGCCGAACTCGAATACGAAGTGAAGATTAGATGTGAGGAACCAGCTAATACTGTTTTACTTCTAAAAAAACAGGTTTTGCGTTTAGTTGCGAATTCTCACCCTGAAGATATTCTGACTTCTACAATTCCGATTGAGGATGACTTGTCTCAAATTGATTCTACCTTGACCTACTTGGACTGTAAAATTAAAAAATTTTTACAAGGCGAAACCAAATACTTGCGACTAATAGAAACTTTTATTAATCATATCTTTTACAGATTGGAACGAATAGATACTGACTTATATCCAGACTTTAAAGCTATTTTCGATACTTTGAAGATGAAATATGACGATATTACTAAACAATTTGAATCCTTGACTCCAGCTCCAACTGAAAATGACCCTCCATCACTTGACCCTCCTGTTGACCCGACTGTCACGGTTGACCCGACTGTCACGGAACTCCCTCTTGTTTCTCAAAATTCTATTCAGGTCCATACCCCGTATCCTCCACCACCACCTCAATCTTTTTCTCCAACCAACGTCTTCAAAGATCTGAAAAGACACACCTTCAATGGTAAAAGCTGTCCAAGATCCTTTCTTCAAAAACTGGAAGAATACTGTATAGCTCGTGGCTTGTCCAAAGACTTGTTGATTTCACAAGCGTTTGAAATTTTCACTGACAATGCTCTTCATTGGTTCAGATTTATATATAATCAGAATCCAAACTTAACGTGGAACGAACTTTCTTCGTTATTAATCAAAGACTTTGGTGGTTTTGATTATGATCACAAACTTTTAGAAGCGATTAGGAATCGAACTCAAGGTCGAGATGAACCTATTGTCATCTATATTTCCATCATATCTGGAATGTTTTCTCGTCTTTCGAAGAAACTTTCTGAAACAGAACAATTGGAGATTATTTTAAGGAATATTCGCCCATGTTATTCAGTCTTCGTAGCTCTAAAAGACATTGACTCTATCGACTCTCTTCTGGCTACTTGCCAAAACTATGAAAAATTCCTAGACAGAGACAAACAATTTAAAGAACCAAATGTACAACAAAGTCCTCTTATTTCTGAATTCAACTACAAGCATTCCACTTCAAGTTCAGTTGACTCTCCAAATTCTTCTAATAACTCACGACCCTCTCCTCCCCTCATGAATAAATTCACTCCATCCTACAAATACCCTTCTAGACAAGTTAATAGTCTCTCTCAAACTAAAGCTCCTCAACAAACCTCCTTTTGTGTTCGCTGTCGTAAACACGGACATTCTTTGAACACTTGTACTCAACCACGATTCGTGATTTGTTTCAAATGTGGTCTTAAGGGTTTTAAAACTGCAGATTGCCCTACTTGTTCTCCCAAACCTAATACTAGTTCAAAAAACTAACTACTGACTTGAAAAGTAACTTAAACTTTGATAACGACGATTGGACTAATTGGATTAAAACAATTCAAAACTTCTTTTCTTGTTACAGAATCTCTTCTACACTCTACTCCAAGGAACAAGATCTTAATCGTCCATTCGTTAATGTCAAAATTTATAACTTAACTTTATCTGGTTTACTAGATTCTGGCAGTTCAGTAACTATTCTGGGTAATAATTCTCATTTGGAAATTCTTAAACTGGGCTGCAAACTTTTCAAGTCAGATCTTATTACTGTCTCTACTGCTAATAATCAAAAAGTTAATTCCTTGGGTTATTTTGACTTACTTATTCATTTCAATAATCAAACTCATTTAATTAAAGCTTACGTTTTCCCTGAAATATTTCCTTCGCTAATATTAGGTATTGACTTTTGGAGAAAATTTAATCTTTTACCTAGTGTTTTATCTTCTCTTAACTTTACAGAATCTAAATGTTCTGCTATCGAAACTAAAGATACTAAAGTTTTACCTTATGAGCATTTAACTCCTAATCAAAAGAACATCGCTAATGACATCATCCAACGTTTCAAGACAATTTCTTTTGAAGAAAAAGGTATCCTGGGATGCACACACTTAATCACCCACAAGATTGACACTGGTGATTCTCTTCCAATCAAACAAAGATGTTACAGACTGTCTCCTGAAAAACAAAAGGCGTTAATTAATGAAGTTGACAAGATGCTGCGATGGAACGTCATTGAACAATGCGAAAGTCCTTGGTTATCTCCAGTTCTCATCACTCCGAAGAAGAATGGTGAATGGCGTTTCTGCGTAGACAGCAGGAAGCTTAACTCAGTTACACGTCGTGATGCTTATAGTCTGCCACTAATAAGCGAAATTTTGGACAACTTGAGGAATGCCAAATACTTATCAAGCATCGACATTGCGAAAGCATTTTGGGAGATTCCCTTGAATCCTGCCGATAAGGATAAAACTGCATTTTATGTACCTGGAAGAGGTATGTTTAGATTTAAGGTAATGCCTTTTGGTTTTTCTAACTCACCTGCAACTCTACAAAGATTAATGGATATGCTTTTTACCCCTGAATTTGAGAACAAGGTATTTTGCTATCTGGACGACATCGTTATCATTAGCGAGACTTTTGATGAACACATATCACTCCTCATGAAAGTTCATGAAAAACTTTCATATGCTAATCTGATTATTAAATTTGAGAAGAGTCAATTCTTCAGGAAAGAATTGAAATACCTTGGTTTTCTAGTGGACGAGTACGGTCTACGTGCTGATCCAGATAAAATAAAAGCTATATTATAATATCCTGTACCTACTTGTAGAAAAGAAGTGCGAAGATTCATAGGCACCTGCAGCTGGTTCAGAAGATTCATTCCAAACTTTAGCACTATTGCCTCTCCACTCAATCAACTAACCTGTTCCGGGAAGAACGCTCCTAAATTTCTTTGGAATTCACAAGCTGCAGCTGCTTTCCAGAAACTTAAAGAAGCTTTGGTAACTGCTCCTGTCCTTGCTTGTCCTAACTTCGAACTACCCTTCTCTGTACATTGTGATGCATCAAACTATGGCATAGGAGCAATGCTTACTCAACATCAAGATGACAAAGAAGTCGTGATTGCTTACATGAGTAAAGCACTAAACAAAAATCAACAGAACTACTCAACTACTGAAAGAGAAACATTGGCTGTAATAACTGCGTTAGAACATTGGCGATGTTACCTAGACAATGGTAAAGAATTTACAATATATACTGACCATGCTGCACTTAAATGGTTTCAGAACTTATCGAATCCATCAGGAAGACTTGCTCGCTGGACTTTACGCTTATCTTGCTTTAACTTTGTCCTGAAACATAAAAAAGGAAAGGATAACGTTGTTCCAGATTTATTATCAAGACATAAGAATCAAAAACGTCCTGATACACGAGAAATTTCACCTCAAGGCGTACACCCTATTACGATTGAAGAACCACCAGATCGTAAACTTGAGCACTACAACAAGATTTTTCTCGGATGCTCCAACAACCCAGACTCATATCCCAACTAAACTATCAGGGATAACAAACTTTACCGCTGCATCCATTCTCCCGATCGTCTAAACGATGACTTTATTTGGAAAGAAGTTCCACTACCTCAAAATAGACATGCAATTATTGAAGTTAACCATGGTTCCCCTTCAGAACTCCATCTTGGTATCTTCAAGACATTCAAGAAAATATCTTTAAAATACTATTGGCCTGGTATGTTTAAGGATATTGCCAATTTAATCTCAACTTGTGAAACCTGCTTAACCTACAAACACCCTAATCATTCTCCCTATGGTCTTATGGGTAAACCTAAACTTTGCTCCAGACCTTTTCAAACTATATCCTTAGATCTTATGGGTCCATTGCCTATGACTCGAAGACGAAATCAGTATATTCTAGTAATTAACTGCAATTTTACTAAATTTACTATGATTTTTCCCCTTAAACGTGCTACTTCAGCTAATATTAGTAATGTTTTGGAAAATTCAGTTTTTCTAGTTAATGGCATTCCCCAAACTATTATAATGGACAATGCTGTTCAATTTCAGTCGCGAGAATTCCACTCATTCTTAAATTCTTATAACGTTCCTTTTATTTTTCACACAGCTTTATATTGTCCTCAGGTTAATCCTACGGAGAAGTTTAATAGTACAATTATTACAGCTCTAGCATCTCTAGTAGGAGACGATCATAGATCATGGGACAACCATCTTACTAAGATTCAGTACGCAATGAACAGCGCTACAAATGTAGCTACTGGCTTTACTTCAAACTTTTTGGTCTTTGGTAGGGAAACAATACCTTGTGGTTCCTTCTATACTCCAACTCAGAACCTCGAGGAATTAATATTTATGCCTCGTGATATTTACGCGTCTAATGCTGGTCTCCTCTCATCTATCTTTCACAAAGTTCAAACTAAACTTCACATAGCGCACGCTAAAAATAGCGCTCGCTATGATCTTCGCCGGGCTTTTAAAGAATTTAATGTGGGAGATACTGCTTGGCGTAAAAATCATGTTTTAAGCAATGCCGGCGCATACTTTAATGCTAAACTTGCCCCTAAGTTCATCAAGTGCAAAGTGATAGCTAAACTGTCACCACTAGTCTATGTACTTGAAGACCCTAATGGAGTTAGAGGCAAGTGGCACATCAAAGATGTAAAATCATAAATTTTCTTAACTTTTATTAACTATTAATTTGTATATATGTATAAATATCACCATCATTCTCACCTTATTATTTTTATTTCTTTTAATTTGTTTGTTTGTTTGATGATCCAGTGTTCTTCAACACATCTTGCTTTAGGACCTCGAACTTTCGTTGGTTAATCGTCACTTTTTATTTTTATTTCAGACACATCTCGTTGGTGATGTTGCTGTTCTCTGGCTTTGAGCCCTACCGCTCTGGCCGTTCTTAATCTTTACTTAAGTCATAGCGACTAAAGCTTACTTGAGGTATTTCTTTATCTTTATCTTCACTTGGGAGCGGTTGACTACTCCCTTAATAATTTTTTATCTTCACGCAAGAGCGGATGACAACTCCTTAAATAAGCCTGAATGTCCTTTCGAAAACACACTTTTAAGAGTGGTGTTTCTTCGACTAATTTTTTTTTTCCACGCAGGAGCGGATGACTACTCCTTAAATAAGCCTTAATGTCGTTTCGAAAACACACTTTTAGAGTGGTAGTCATTGAATGTGAACTCCACCCTTACCTGAATGGCAGATGATGAATGTAAAAATGTAGTGTTATGCTACTTACATATCATTTTACATTATTTTAAATTCATTTTTCCATTCTGTTTCGATTTTCTGCATTCACCTCAAAACTGGATATTTTACATCACCTTTATTTCCATAGGATCCTGTAACGATTTTAAACCATAAGAACACAATAACAAATCATTTCTACTTCGTATTTTCACATTATCAGCACTTTTAAATTGGTGTCAATGGAGTCTACCTTTTTTTGATCTTTTAGCTAGTTTTCCGTAACTCTACAATCTCGGGCTTTGTGTGGGCAGCTGCGCTACCTTTTTTCCTATATCAATAATATCTCATTTTCCACTTAAATCTTACCGTTTTCTTATTATAAACCTAAAACCAAAATTTGACATGTTTTGTCATTGTTATTTATTTCGTTTCCATAGTAATTATATTCAAATTTGCTACCGATCTGTTGTTCCTATTTCGATAATTCCACATAAATACTATTTTCTCTTGACCATTTACAAAAAATTTGCGTTTAATTTAAATAATTTTCCCGTTCTCTCTAGAAAGGTATAAAAGCCGAACAATCGGTGAAGAAAGGCAGTCTCGCTTCAGTTCGCGAATTGGAAGTATCTCCTAAAGGCCTTATCCCGGGACCGCACTGCCCCGGGATCCTGCAAGCCTCCACCTACACGTGAAGTCTTCGGCGAAGCCTTCTTCAAACGCGGAGCCGCACCACTCCGGAATCCTACAAGCCTCCATCTACCTCGGAAGTCGCTTCGAGTCTACTACAAGCGCGGGGGCCACACTACTCCGGGCGCTACGACTGCTTACTCCAGGCGCCGAGAGCACCTACCGCCGGCGCTACCTTTGGGCGCTGCAACTGCTGGCTCTAAGCGTTGAGCGCACCTACTCCAGGCGCTACGTGCGCCGGCTCCGGACGCTGCGTGTGCTGGCTCCAGGCGTTGCGTGCCGTCGCTGCTAAGAAACCTACCTCTACATTCGCAACGTGTGTCGCTTCGACTTTTAGGCTCCACTACAATTCTATATTCCCCTATTCTCCTACCTTTATTTTTTTTTGTAATCTAATTGTACACTCACTTCATTCATCATCATCCTCATTTCATTTTTTTTAAAAAAAATTGTAAATATCTTTGAATTTTGAATATATTTCTGTTTTTGTTGTATTTTTGTTGTTTTGTTGTTCTTAGGTTAGATTTATTATTGTCGCTTCTCGACAGCCTCGAAAGCATCTAAAACTCCTACGCCTCTTCTCTCTCCGGTCCGGTCTAACTGCCATCCCATTGTTAAAATACATGAAATAGGATATAGAGAATGCACCTGTGTTTGCGCCCACACGTGCACTCCTGAGTACAAGTCTTTCCAAAAGACAGATACAAATACGGGTCTGAGCCACCTGCATTCATCGACTTGTCACATTCTCTGCACCCTACACTCCGCTATCGGAATTAGGCTGCCACCCAAATTTTAGCGATCCTTTTTCAAATACGGCGAAGAACATCAATTTCGAGTTATTCTGCTCTAAAACTATTACATAAAATAAACTTAAAATACTTAATTGTACCTTTTAAAAATGGTACTTTGTATTTTATTGATGATGGTAATAATGATGATGATGAAAATGTTCACGACGCAATCGAAATAAAAAAAATCTTCCTTTTCCATCCCATTACACCGAAATAAGATTTTAACTAAAGCCGAATTTTATAAATATGCCAAATTTAAATTCATCGACTTAAAATACTCTCACAGAAGAACCTATAGTACAAACAAACAGACAGACAGGCAGAAGTTATTTAAAATTATTATATTTTAAAAGTAAAAATATAACTTTAATTTTATTCATTATATAAATCGACTGGATTCGCATGATCAGTGTGAGTAAGAATACGCAAATGAGGATGGATATAAAATGTATTCTATTAAGGATCAGGTGTAACATAATTTGCAGGAATCCATTTTATCAATGATGTTGAATTTTTTTAGATAAAATATTATTAAAGAAATGTATGATGTATACGCATTTACAAAAGAAATCCCAGAAAGTATACAAAACTTGACATAAAATTTGTAAACCTTATTTTTTTTTATAAGATAAGGGTGGCAAACGAGCACACAGTCCACCTGATGGTAAGTGGTTGCTGCGACCCATAGACATCTACATCTATCCTCTGTTACAAATCAAAATGTAGATGCGTTGTCACCCGTGAGGACTAAGATGGAATGCCTCATTTCCAGTAAAAAAGGGCCTTATTAAACAAAGTATTAAAAGAAAGAGGACAAGTTTTTGTTATGATCCACGACCGATTAATAGATAGAATGAAAGGTGTTACTCATTCAAAAGTATGATTATAAATTGTTTCTGTTGGAAGGATAAACGATGGAATATCCTCATAGGCGGGATATTTGCCATAGGTGCCACGCTTGACAAGTGGGTTGGCAAACGCAGTTTTTTTTATTTTTAGTCGTTATTAGGAAGACGCTGCAGCCCACCTTCTGATTTGTTTCCCTTTGTCGCCTCTTATGACACCCAAGGCTTGATACGGGGTAGTGGATATTCTTACACCGTACTACACATTATCTAATAATCAAGTTTTGCATTTTTATCTCTAAAAAATGTCCCATCTCAATAGAAATGATTGATAACTACTAAAAATTTTCCCCACATATACCTATATATTAGTTAAATCAAGTTACACCCTTAAGAAAACAGTAATTATTTTTATCACATTAAAAATATCAGATACAAGATCAGTTACTCGTCAGCGGGATGTCAGATTGCGTTTTTTTCATATGGACTTATAGTGATGAAAATAAATGTGGTGCACAAGAATCACAATATTATTAACAAAATTATAATCCCCAAGACAAAATAATGTTATGTCAATTAATATTACCTGTTATTGTTAAAAAAAGTAAAAATTTTATAGGTAAGGCAAAAATATTTAGTGGATTTATTACGCTTTAATTCTTATTGATTTACTCCTCAAAACTGCTTATTACTCAACGGGTACTTGCAAATGAATTGTATAAACATAATAAACAGTCTATTAATCAAATCCATTTTTTCCTTTCACACGCAATTCCTAAACTTAGGAGTGTAAAATTGAAATAACTTGAGTTATTAGTGTACAGTTATTTGTCATAGTACAATGTTTCACCTAATATGTGTCGGCATAAAACAAACAAAAATATTCCTGAGGTACCAAAATTTACAAGACAACATTTTATGTTTTGCTCAAACCATATAAAATAATTTATATGTTTTGTGACACACGAGGTCTCGTTTATTACATTCTCTATCTAAGGATGACTCTTAAAATAAACTTTCTAAAGATGCAGAGCTTGGACAACCGCAGGGATATACTTGACCTATCCTTCTTTTTCAAGATAATAAGATATCAGTTGCATTGTCCTGCACTCCTGATGAAATTTAACTTTAAAGTTCCATCACGAATGCCTCGTAAGCCCATCGAACCTCTCTCTCGTCCATTTCGCAAAACAGTTTTGGGAGCCAATTCACCGGTTTCCAGAATTTCCCAACTATATAATAAGTGCGGTGGATCAATAGATGTTAATGTTATGTCTCTAGCTAAGTTTAAGGCCACAGTAAACCATACACTATTTAAGTAACTAGGTGTAAGTCATTGTTTCATATACCTACATAATATTATTTTGTTCTATTCTAAGTTTTTGTATTTAAAAAAATACAAAAACTTATAATGGAGCGGAGCAGGATGATGTTATGTAGGTGTATACATATGCATAATAATATTTTGTTCTGTTCTAAGTTTTTGTATTTTTTTTTGTTGTTTTTCACTAGGTAACTTTTTAATAACTTGAAGCATGTGGTGTATACCTTTAATTGATTGTACAATTAGTATATAAGTGGATGTGTATTTACTATTTCTGCATTATTGTAACAATCGTTGGTGTACATAAATAAATAAATAAATAAATAAAGACCACCGCACTTCTGCTCCACGCCTCGGGAGTAGTGCCACCGTAGAGGACGGAATCAAAGAGCTTCTGAAGGACTTCAAGTACCGGTCTTCCACCCGCTTTCAGAAGCTCCGCTGTAATTCCATACTCGCCTGGGGCCTTGCCGTTTTTAAGGTGCTGGAGAGCCATTCTAATCTCGCTCAGACTGACGTCCGGGATATCATCGGAATAGTGTCGGATAAGACTCACTCTTGGATCGTTACTCACCCTTGCGTGTGGCTCCAACGAAGTCGTGTAAAGCTGCTCATAGAACCGCTCAATCCCACTCAAAATCTCAGGTGACCCGGAAACGATGCTGCCACACTCGGTCTTAAGCTTCGACATTTGGCTCTTTCTGGCAGACAGATCTCTGGCAAAGACTTTGGAGCTTTGGTTCTGCTCGATCGTTCCTTTAATACAAGCTGTATTGAAGTTGCGTAAGTCCCTCCGCATGCATTTG